CCTAGCTGCCTTTTTCAAAAATTAGAGCTGTCCAAAAATTTGAAAGATGTTCCTTTTGAGTTTCTTTGCTTTCTATCAAGAGGGCTTCTAGTGTGAGGTGAATAATCACCGATCAGGAATGTTGAAGAAGGGATTCTTGTTTAGAGTGAGAGATTGTATGGACTCTGAAGTCTCTTCTACATCTTTGATTCTATGAGTCTCTGCAAGTTGTATTAATTAATTCTGGGACTGCATTTTAAAAGTAAGAAATATTTTGGAGTTGGTTCCAATTAATAGATACTTTTAAAAAAAAGTTTTCTCTGTTTTCACGTATGGTAAGGTCAAACATTTTTTTTTTTTGGTTCAAGTTTTATTCAAGATCATATACAAAACGTTTCTAGACCCAAGAGGGCTTAATCCTCCTCCGCTTCATCCTGGTTGATCTGGAAGTTCCATAATTCATAACTCTCCTTGCTGTTGGCTAACACCTGCAGCCAATCCTGAAGATTGTTCTTCTTTAAGTATTTCTTTGCCAGGTACTTCAAATACCTTTTAGAAAATGGCACCTCTATGTCATGGTTATCTTACTCTTGCTTCTCTCAATGGTTACGACTCTGCCACCAAGTTTGCCAGCCTTTCCATTCACTTTGATTCGTTCTTGTAAAAACTGCTTAAAATTAGCTGCGTCCATAATCCCATCTTCCACAGGATGGGTACAATCCCGGGTAAACTTAAGGACTTTCTTCTTTTGTTTGCCACTCTTCATCACAGATTTCTTCATGGGCGCCATGGTGATCACGGTGCCAGAAAGGAAGGACAAACATCTTAATCACTGTGCTCCATTTATTTTTCAATTTATTTTTACACTCCCCATTCCTACTCCCTTGGCTTTCAGAGGTCCATGTCTGGACCTCTGTTCTTTTTTCAAACTGGGTGCCATTGGAAATATAGATGAGGAAAGTTGTGATTATTTGCCACATAGTTTTCCCTTGAGGGTGGAAGAGCTGCTGATGAAGGCATCATTAAGTGGGCAATACTTTGATAGAAACAGCATCTGATAAGTATAAATCTCTGGATATCATTTTGAGGTACCTGCAATTTTAAAGGCTATTTTAGTCTTTGTCTGTCTCTTCTTACCAAGACCATTTTTCTTCCTCCCAAGAAGAGTAATAAATGGTATATTAAGCTGAAAAAACCAACAATCCAGTTAAGAAATTGTAATAGAGTGTGAGGCTGGAAATTGCGATGTTAACACCTACAGTCTCACTGACACCACTTACTCTTTTTTTCCCTCAATGTTATTAAGGAGTCAAGTGAGCACAGAATGTGCAGTCTGTGATAAAAGCCAGAGGGATTATTACCAGGTACATGGCTCAAGCAAGTCCTTTTGCTCTTCTGTGAAAGGAGCAGACCCTCTGCTGACATGTCAGTAGACAACCAGTGTCAGGTTCTAGACCTGAAATGAAAAGAAAAACTGAGGCTTGTACAAAGAAAAAAATAAGACTTCATTGAGTTGTTGACTATTGTTAAGAGCTTAGGTGATAAGACAAAACAGTCTGAAAACAGAGTTTGAAGTTATGGAAAATTGAATGGAATTTGTAAAGTGTTTTGTGTCTGACTTAAGGCTGGAAGATGTTCTCTAGGGAAATATAGACATCTCAAAACGATAGAACAAATACAACTATAGAGAACAGAGTTTTAGAATGAAACATTCATAGCCTGAGTTCTGATAAAAATTCTTATTAATTCTTTTAACTGTATGTGTGTGTGTGTATGTGTGTACATATGTATACATATGTACATAGGTATACCTATATACATATGCTAGATAGATAGATGTATGAAAGTTAAAATTTCCTTAAAAATTAAGGAAATTTTTTTTGTGTTTTTCAGAATCCAAAAAGATAAGATCTGAGATTATTTTTGTATTTGTTTTAGAAAAAAGTGACCTCATCAGACATTAGAACAAACTTCTTAATTGCAAAGGGACAAAGCAAAAATCATTATCAAGAGGTATTATATAATCGTGTTTAGTTATTTTTCAGTCATGTCCAACTCTTCATGACCCCATTTAGGTGTTTGGTTTTTTTTTTTTGCAAAGATTACTGGAGTGATTTGCCTTTTCCTTCTCCAGCTCATTTTAAAGATGAGGAAACTGAGATAAATAGGGTTAAGTGACTTGCCCAGGTTCAGTAAGCTAGTAAGTGTGTCTGAAGCCAGATTTAACTTCAGGATGATAAGACTTCTGACTCTAGGCCAAGCACTCTATCCATTGCACTACCTAGCAACTCATTATATAATGGTGGGATCTTAGATTTATGAGCTGGTCTGGTTCAGCTCACTCATTTTATAAATTAGTGAACTGAGAATTGCTGAGGTTAAATGACTTGCCTAAGGCTATATTGGTAACAGATAGAATAACAGAGAGGAAGGGAGGGAGGGAGGGAGAGAGAGAAGGTAAGTGAGAGAGAGAGAGAGAGAGAGAGAGAGGGAGGGAGGGAGGGAGGGAGAGGAGGAAGGAAGGAGAGAGAGAGAAAGAGGGAGAGAGAGAGAAAAAGAGAGAGAAGAGAGAGAGAGAGAGAGAGGGAGGGAGGGAGGGAGAGGAGGAAGGAAGGAGAGAGAGACAAAGAGGGAGAGAGAGAGAAAAAGAGAGAGAGAGAGAGAGAGAGAGAGAGAGAGAGAGAGAGAGAGAGAGAGAGAGAGAGAGAGAGAGAGAGAGAGAGAGGAAAAGGATAATTCACTAAGCACTGATAATTACCAGGCATTGTGCTGAGAGTTAGGGATAGAATAACAAGAAAATAAGATGGTCCTTACTCTCAATGCAGCTATTAAGTTTCTGAAGCCAGATTTGAATTCAGGAAAATAGGACTTCTAACTATTAGGATGATAAAATATCTAATAGTACGATAAAATTGCACAAAAGTGAAGCAGAAAGGAGAGTTGGACTCATACCTGTGGAGGTAAGACAGCCAGTGTAGAAAGTGATTGTGGAGGGAAGTGAACAACGTTGCTATGACTTCTGATGGTATAGGGGTTCCACATAAGGCCTCAGCACTCATCCAGATAGCCTTAGCCTGGAGTCATCCTAGGGGCAAGGGAGCGAACATAATCATTTTTGTGCCATGGACCTCTTTGGCAGTCTGGTGTAATTTAAGGACCCTTTCTCAGAATAACATTTCTAAACTGCTTGAGACACACAGGATTACAAAGGAAACAAATTATATTGAAATACAGTTATCAAAATATTTTTAAAAGTTCATGGACCCCTAGGTTAAGCACTATTGATCTAGATCTAAAAGAGACCTTAGAGAACAGTTCAACTTTTTCATTTTATCAATGAGTGAATTGGGGAACAGTGGCAGTAAGTGACATCCCCAAAGTCATACAAGTAGTAGATGACAAAGCCTGTATTGGAACTTAGGTTCTATGACTCCAAGTTTAGTGCTCTTTCCACTGAACTGTACTACCTAGCTTCTTTTTATTATTGGAATATTGTAATCAACCAATCAGTCAATATTTATAAAGAACCTATTTGGGAGCTCAGCTCTGTCCTAGGTACTTGGAGGGATACTAATAATAACAACTCGCATTTATAAATGGGCCTGGATATTTAGACTTACAAAAGATTTTACTAACTACTCTGAGAGTCAAGTAGTGATGATGTTATGACTTTAGTTTTACAAATGAGAAAACAGGCTCAGAGAGGTTAAGCAAATTAACTTAGGGACAAGGTTACACAATGAGTACGTTTTAGAACCAGGACTAAAACCCATTTCTTCTGATTACAAGTCTTTCTATTATATCAGGCTGCTTCTCTACCATGAAGTATAAGATGTACTTCATATATATGTATATATATACACACACACACATATATACACACACACACACACACACACACACACACACACACACACACACATATATATATATGGAACTATTTGCTATTTAAGTTTAGAATTTTTTACTGTATTTGATGCGGGACAAAACTAACACAAATCAAATAATTACAGACCCGTTAAGTGTTAACTCTATAGTCCTAAGTACAATAGGATCATTGGATAATAGAATCCAATTCCTCCAGGAAGAAATCTTACAGAGCATCTAATTTGATCCTCTCATTTTACAGTTGAGGAAAGTGAAGTCAGTTTCCTGGGTTGAATGAGTTGCACAAGGTCATATAGGTAGCAAATATCACAAGTGAGATTAAACCCACCACCATGCTACATCTAGTTAAGAGAGAGAGAGATAGATCACTGTGGGCTAGAATAACTAGGGAAGGCCTCAACAGTTCCTGGAGGAGGGACATCTTGAGCTGGGCCTTGAAGGATGGATACAGTTAGGATACTTTGTGGAGAAAGGAAGGCATTCTAGAAGGAAGGACTAGCATTAGGTAAGGTTGAATGCTAAATGTGTTGGCCCCAACAGGGAGGAGACCAACCTGACTAGAGTAGAGTTGGAGAATGGAAATAAAATTGGGTAGGTACTGAGTATAGCATTATGTAGAGACAGAGATTGGTTTCAATGGGTCTTCCAAATCTATGGAACACAGTTAATAGGACATACTGATTATTATTGGATATATTAATTTTCATTGTTATAGACTAATTTTCACTGGAGGAAACTCATTTCATTGGTTTTCAAAATTATGAAAATACCCTGCTTTTAATATTCCTGAGGAAGAAAGTATATACGTGTAATAGATTGGAATCAAATTACATGTACGACTGTCCATTTTTTAAAAGAGAAAAATTGCAAATAATGCTTTCATGGTTTGATATTTAAGTGGCACTGCACATAACTCAAACTCACTGGTCTTTTGCACCTCCCTTGTCCACTAAGAGAAACAAAAGTACTGCATAGGGCCTGAATAATATAATTAGATAATTACCTACTTTCTCATTTTTACTTTAGTTTCAAATTACCTTCCCCATTTGAAAAAAAAATTGCCCACAACTAAAAAATTATTCTTTTTTGGGGGGGGTTAGGTCTACTGATATATTTATTTATTTATTTTTCAGGATGGATTGCGATTCTGGGGGCTATCTGGTTACTAGTGTTAGCTGACATCCATGACTTTGAGATAATACTACACAGAGTGGAATGGGCCACCCTTCTGTTCTTTGCAGCGCTATTTGTCCTAATGGAGGTAAGAATTCAGAAAAGCTCTACTGACTTATTTAATCATTTTCTTGCCTTTGACATTTCGTATTACAGCTGAAGAGTATCAACTGAGTTTACCATGGCATATTGTGAATATCAGCTGCCCTAAGAATTACATGGACATTTCATTCACTCACTCACTCATTCATTCTTTATTCATCTGTCTAGCATTTACTTAGATCCTGAGGCATATAGCAGACACTTAATAGATACCTATTCATTGATCAATTGATTATCAAGGGCTGACTATCTGCAAGACACTTGGCTGGGCACGGATTTTTTTCAATCAAAAACAGTTTTCAGCAGAGGTATTCTGATAACTGAGCCCAAAGTGGTAATGTTGGCATGCTTTTGGTGCCCTGAAACTTGCTACCATGTTATCTGCTATAGTGTGGAGTATCAGATAAATCTGGATCATAAAAAACAAAATCAAATACACATGTTTCTGTGGTTTAATTTGCATAGTAAATGGGCAGGCTTGATGTCAGCATGCAAAAGGATTCCATTAGGAAAATGACTGAAGAACTTAGAATGTTTCTCTTTGCAATTTAAAACAGGCTCAAAATTCATCACTGATATGTAAGATACCCATCATTAGGTTATCTGCAGGGTAGGATGTTTTTCAGCCACAGATACTCCTGTAGGCTGTCTGCTTAAGCCCAATGACATCTGCTCTGTGTTGGTGGAGAGAGTGACCTCGCTAACAAATTCCTATATCCTGTAAGTATTAAAGTATATATATATATATATATATATATATATATATATATATACACACACATATATATATATATATACACACACACACATACATATATATACACACACATACATATATACAGATATAGATATAGATAGATATATACATACATACACACACATACATACATATATATATACACATATATATGTTTTGTTATGTTTGTTTTCATTTTTGAAACAGTTCCAGAAAGCATAGTCTTCCTCTGAGAGCAAGCACAAAGCTAAAAATGATCACAACCCCAAACTTCACTAAGAATGCAATAAAAAAGAAAAACAAAATTCCAAAGGTACTACTCTGACTTTCTGATCAATTCAGTTTCATTTCTTCCATAGAGGTCAGGCTGAAATTTCTTTTTAAAGTACTCCAATCATGAAGCTGAAGGCTACCAAATTATAATGACCGAGCATGGCTCCAAAGAAGAAATATAAGAAAATGTCTTTCCCTTTTTCCTCCTCCTTTGCAGAGGCTGGGGGCACACAATTGTAAAATATGGACTATAATGTCAGATGTTTTCTATCTGTTGATTGGTTTTGCTAGGTGGCACAATGCACAGTGTACTGGGCCTGAAGTCAGGAAGACCTGAATTCAAATCCAGCCTCAGACACTTCCTAGTTGTATGACCCTGAGCAAGTCACTTAACTTCTGTCTGCTTATCTACTGTAAAATAGGGATAATAATAGCACTTACCTCACAGGGTTGTGGTGAAAATCAAATGAGATGTTTGTAAAGCACTTAGAAAGATGCCTGGCACATAGTAGGTGCTTAATAAATATTGCTCCATTCTCTTCTTTTTTCTCTTTAAAAACAATTCTGTTATAAGAGATGGTTCTCTGGGAGGAGAAGAGGAGAGGGATACAAGGGGAAATATATGCAATGTACAAATTAAGATATAAATTGAATCTAATTTTAGAAGGAAAAAAATAGTGGTCCAGTTTGATCTCAAAGAAGAGATATGAGGAGGCACTTCCCCCCTTTCTTTGCTGAGGGAGATCTCTAAATGAAGGAAATTCAGGAGAAATTGGAAGGATGAACCCAGTGGCAAATAGTATGAACTTAAAATTTCTGTACATCTCCCACAGTCTTTGAGAGATGGGGAATTATGGTTGTACAACACTATATATACAATAATATTGACTTAGTTGATGTGTTGGTTAATTTTTCTGACCAAATTTTTTTTTTAGCTCTTTGCTATAAGGGATATCTCTCTTAGAAGAGCAGGATAGAGGGATATACTGAGAAATATAGTTGATATAAATAATACATTAATATTTTGTCATATAATAGATACATTAAGTTATATTTCTGTTGATAATATTTACATAATTTTAAAAGTACTTCAATTATTTTTACATTTTTTTCCCTCATATTAAAAACAAGCTCCTTTAATACCTAAAGTTATGTTTGCATTTGCATTATGGCATATTGAACCAATAAAATCTCTGGTATAGATCCTTTCAAACCCATTTATTCCAACTTTTAGGATAGTTTTGTTTCATAGTGCCTGAAAAATAGTAATCCCTTGTTTTTGTTATTCAGCCATTTCAGTCATAACCAACTCTTTGTGGCCCTGTTTTCTGTTTTCTTGGCAAAGAGTGGTTTACCATTTTCTTCTCCAGCTCATTTTACAGATGAGTTAATTGAGGCAAACAAGGTCAAATGTCTTGCCCTGGGTCACATAGGTAGTAAATGTCTGAGGCTAGATTTGAACTCAGGTCTTCCTGACTCCAGGTCCAGTGCTCTATGGCTGTAAGTACTTAATAAATGTTTTATTGACTAATTGAGGCACTGGGAAGTAGGACATTGTAGGAACACATTGGGAAAAGAAAGAAAGGAAGAATGGAAGGAAGGAAGAAAGAAAGAAAAAAGAAGTAAAGGAAGGAGAGAAGAAAGGAAGGGAGGGAGGGGTGAGCTAAGATCTGGAGACACAAATACAGGCAAGGAGAATGACAGTAGAGGGCTTGTTTATTGAATCATTTCCTTGATTCTCTTTCTTTCCATACCCACTTTTCCCACTCTTCCATCCAAAGGCTTTCCTCTTATTTTATACACACAATGCAAAAAGAAGAATGGTAGTACTTATGGTAATTTTTTCTAGACAAACTACTTTGCTTCTATCAACTGGGTAATTCAGACTCACTCTGTATTTAGGCCCAAGTTATTGCGAAAGTGACTTCAGCTTTGTACTTCATTTTATGGGTGAGCACAGCAATAGAAAGTAATCAAGACCCAAAATACTGAACTCTGTGAATGGGATGGGAGAATTGTATTTCCTCTAGAGCTGTATATCATGTCATCATCGTTGTCGACTTCCCCTTCCCCTTCCCTTCCCCCCCCTTCTCCTTCTCCTCCTCTTCTATATTGAAATTGAAAGTTGTAGGTACTTCTCTCTCTCTCTCCCTCTCTCTCTCTCTCTCTCTCTCTCTCTCTCTCTCTCTCTCTCTCTCTCTCTCTCTCTCTCTCTCTCTCTCTCTCTCTCTCTCTCTCTCTCTCTCTCTCTCTCTCTCTCTCTCTCCCCCCCCCCCCGTCTCTTTCATTTATGCTACTTCACTTTGGAAATGAAATTAGCATCAATGGCAGCATGGTACAATGGAAAGAACACTGAATTTGGAGTCAAAGAAACTGGGCTTCAGTTTCTTCACTAGCCGAAGAGGAAGCCAGAAGGCCAAATTAATCCAACAGTTATTAAGTGTACAGTATATGCACTGCTCTAGGGTAAGAGAATACAAAGTAAAACAGCAAGAACAACAAAAACAAACAAAAAACAGCTTGTGTCTGCCTTCAGAGAGCTTATATTCCATTGGACAGATACAACAAAGGATTGCACTAGATGACTGCTAAAGTTCTTTCTAGCTCTATTTAGAGCTACTAAAAGTACCTTCTGTTAGTCAGAAGGAAAAATATTTAGTAACCATACTTCAAACAACTGACAAACTGCTTGGCGTTTTCTTGGCAAAGATACTGGAATGGTTTGCCATTTTCTTCTCCAGCTCATTTTCTAGATGAGGAAACTGATGCAAACAGGATTAAGTGACTTACCCGGGGTGATACAGCTAGTAAGTATCTGAGGTCACATTTGAACTCAGATCTTCCTGACTCAGGCCCTGCCATTTAGACCATTGCCGTATTTGTTTTCCATTGGTATCTGGTACCTAACACGTTCTAATATAAAAATGATCATCACAGAAATAACATTCCTTTGAGCCACACTAAGTTATTTCTTTTTCTTCCCAGTTGTTTAGATTTTTAATTTATTTGTAGACATTAAAGGCATAGACTTTAAATAATTTTCTTTGTTATGATTCTTTAAATCTTTCTTTATAACTCTTGCCACTAATCTCCTCTTGTCTTCCTCTCTTTTATTTACATCTGCTTGCCTAATTAGATGGTCCAACTGGGGCAGAATGTTCTAGCTGCAGTCATGTTGTGAGAAGCCTCTGTGCCCCAGCTTTGTCTCAGCATATAGCCTTGTCCTGTAAGCAGTTTCCTGGTGATATGTACTAGGTAGTTTTCAGTTGGAAAGTACTAAATTTGGAGAATTTATCAAGCTGTTTTCTTTATCCTCTACATCCTGACAATGCATATTGGCAGCAAGGAATGCCCCTTTGAGACAGGCATGTGGGTGTTTAATGGAGTATACAACCTTCCTCCTAACTCCCCTGGAACCTCACATATTATACAGCAGAGGGGGCTGGCAAACGTACTGGGTGACTGTACCTAGAGAGCACAGTATGGTTAAGAACAGAGCTTGTTAAGGGAGTCATTGTGTCCCCAAACCCTGTGAAGTTCTCTGTGCCTAGACTTTTAAAACCCTGGGAAGCATGTAGCACCACCCAGCACATATAACTTTCCTGAAAACATGAACTGTTGGAGCACACATGCAAGAGATAGTCATTCAGGAGCACCAAACTCTTGTATCCACACCATTCCAAAATGAAGACCTGGCTTTCTTCCTCTCACTTCTTCGTAGATAATGAACCTCACTAGCTGAAGAGGAAGCCAGAAGGCCAAATTAATCCAACAGTTATTAAGTATACAGTATATGCACTGCTCTAGGGTAAGAGAATACAAAGTAAAATAGCAACAACAGCAAGAACAAACAAAAAACAACTTGTGTCTGCCTTCAGAGAGCTTACATTCTATTGGACAGATACAACACATAAGTGAATTCACAGATAAATGAATTGGAAATATGCATAAAGTGATATAAAGTAATTTCAAGAGGC